TCAGTTATCCTCTTCTAATACCTTCAGATTAGATATTGCCTTCAGATCATCCACAGTTAGTCTCGTCAGATATCACCTCACTTAGCCTTTCTACAATCCATTTAACTAATTGTGGTCGAAATGTCCTCAATTTAAACTATACTAACTGGATGTATAGAGTTTATGCTGTCAATTAGAAAACTTTCTTGTAAACACATGAAACTTTCTGACGATCATTTGATGCACACATTATGTCACTTGAATAAGGAATTTCAAACACACACACACACACAAGTGTTTCCTGGCTATATACGGCACAACCGAAATTTTTTATACTTTCTGTCACATATAAAACACATTTGGTGATATATGCCGTTTGAGGTAAACACGCATACAACACACCTGGTGATACGTGTTACTTGAGGTAACCAAATACACAATACACCTGATCATACGTGCTACTTCAGGTAATCAGGTATGCAACACACCTAAGTCATACGTGCTACTTACACAACATACCTTATGATGTACTACAGATAGTTTTTTTTTTTGGAGGGGGGTACGTAGATTCATTTGATTTCTTACAGTACTTCACAGAACGCCCTCTCATGCATTTCAGTATTTATCGTGATACAAAAGTATTTTCGTGTAATATTTTTTCATGCACTCGCTGGTATAACATAGGCTCCAAAACACCATATTTTTTGAATTTGTGAATTGTGATTTAAAAAGAGTCTCATTTTTAAAGAGAAAATTCACATCCGCGATTTGGTAGCAAAAACGACCTCTAATCTTCTGAAGAAAACCCTATTAAGTTTAGGATATACGCCTGGAAACTTGTTAGAGTTGATAGCCATTGGCAAGGTTATATGATATTTTATGTAATATCAACACGATCCCGATATACTTTACAAATAAACTAAAATGATCTTAACACATATCTTTCTTCAAATACTTAATTTTGTAGAACTGAAAGTTTATTGTTTCTATTCAGTTTCAGACCATATTTGAGTTTTTTCAGTGAACAGTAAATTAGTACTTAGATGTTTTCACCTGAACTGAAGATGGTTTATTAAAGTACGTCGTTTCATTTGATTTGATACAGTACGTTGAAGAACGCCATCTTTATATGGTTGATAGTAATAACTTGATCCTTTTAGAAAAGGTTCTACATTCGTGGTATGGGGAAAGTGGTAATCGAATCAAGGGTTCTTTCTTTCTTCGAATCAGATAAGAATTATTACTTTTGTCGCAGAAACGAGATATAAATAATACGCAACGAAAACAATCACAAGATAAAAACTAATGTCTTTGTTTTAAGTCACTGATTACTAGATTGAGAGGTTTTTTAACGCAATGAATATGACGGTTGTTATGTTTTTAGTTGTATATGGATAACATTTCATTATTAATTTATTGTTATATTCTATAAAATCTTAGTCAACACGAAACTTGGAGGAATTCAACACAAAACAAGGAAGTTAAAAAGAAAAGAAAGAGAGAAGTTATCACTTATATACGTAAGGCGGTTTGATTAGTTACCATGATAATCGGAATATCATTCGGGGTTTTCAAATGTAATATAGGAAATACACTTCGATTTGATGTGTTTTGGTGATTCATTTCCGGCGAAGAACATATGTTATCACGCAGAAAAAAGATCTAGTAAACTTTGTAAAAGCTACATTTTTCACTCTTCAGTAAAACGTATGTGATTTAATTATGTTTCACATATTAAAATATTTTTGTTTTGTTTTGAAAATTGGAAAGAACCAATGACTTCAAACTCTGCGAAACTACTTACCCTTTCAAACGTAAACAATTATCCGGCAGTAATGAACTTGTGTATGAAATAAGCGAAACTACTTACCCTTTCAAACGTAAACAATTATCCGGCAGTAATGAACTTGTGTATGAAATAAGCGAAACTACTTACCCTTTCAAACGTAAACAATTATCCGGCAGTAATGAACTTGTGTATGAAATTAAGCGAGATATTTGTCCAAATTCTATCCTTCATGTTACGTCATTCTTGTAAATTCAGCTTGTTAAGCAAGATACTTTAGATAATATCAGTGATATTTTTTGTTATTATGACAATTTAGTATTGTTTATTTCATTTAGTGAAGATAAATTTGTTTGTGTAGTTGTTTTAATTCAAAATTAATAATGCTCATTGGAGTTTTAATTTCGATTTTTCAGTTTAGATTAGCATTATGTTATTGTTAGCCATTATGGATAAAATTCAAGGAAACTTTTATACATATTTCAGATATATTAAAATATATCAGTGTTGTATAATATACGATTACAATTTTATTTAAAAGCCGAGCAACGGTCGTGAAAAAAGTCATTCTATACGTTTTCATGTTTTTCACGTCATCTTCAGGACTGTGAAAAGCAAATCCAGTGCAACATATAAATATACAAAAAAAGCCATTGTAATGTGACTACTAGTTTACATATTTAAAAAAGATCACTAAATTAAAATCAACATTTGATAACACAGATAAAAAAAGAAATGCTGTTTTTTCCCTATGTCCCAGGTTTGTCACGTCAATTTTTTCGTAAATTAGAAAAAAAAATCTTATTCACATTTATAGACCATTGAATTAAATTAGTCAAATATTAAATACAACTAGATGAAATCAACCTAATTGAGAAAACGGGTGCTTATAAAATTGAATGTGAATGTGGTGGTGTTTACAATGGTCAAACTAGAAGAAATTTAAAATGTAGAGTAAATGAACATCAGAGAAATGTTAAAAACAAAAGTGAAAACTCTGCACTAGCTGAACATGCAAATTATACTGGTCATGTTATCCAGTGGGAAAAACCGTTATTTTGGCTCAACCGAATAATATAACGGCTAGAAATATTGGAGAAACCATAGAAATAATAAAGTACAGTAAAAATAATAAGGATAAAAAAATCAAAAAGTAAGTAGATGGTGTGATTTTTTTAAATATGTAAACTAGTAGTCACATGACCATGGATTTTTTGTATTTATATGTTGCACTGGATTTGTTTTTTACTCTTCTGAGGATGACAATGACGTCGAGTGTCTTTTTTACGATCCTTGATCGTTTTTAAAATAAAATTTTAATTGTATATAACTTTCATCACTGAATATTTTATACATGTTAGTCATTAATTCTGACAAAGGAGTTGGCACACAGGATCACACACAAAGGGGGCAATGAATTTAAAAAAAAATACTCCAAACTCGAGCGCTTTCAACTAGTTGATTATTCTTTTTCAGGAGAATAAAATAGAAGAGTAGTCAACTATTTGAAAGCGCTAGAGTTTTGGATCTTTTTTTTAATTCATTGTTACTCTCTTAGTTATTGTTAACTTTGAGTTTAACATTTGAGTCATGTGATTGAAATTAGTCCAAACATGGTTTCTAATTGCAAAAGTAAGTGTTTTAGCTAGGTGCAACAGAAAAGCCCGAGCAATGTTCTAAGTGTTACGATTGGGATATTAGTCCTCTGTATTCAACAGCGTGCGCAAATACACTACTTATGGTGTACTATTTTCGTTGATTATACATTTATTATTTATGGGGTATCCACATGCAATTTATTCTCTGTTATTAGATATTCCCATGTATTTTATTATTTGCTGTGATTGAAAAGTATTGTCGTGTAATCTTATGAGGATATCTCATTGATAATAATAATTATTATTATAAATACAGAATTAATGAAAATAGTGTATCACAAGTATCATATCGAGCGGTTCGAGTTATCCCATCGCAACTCACCAAAGCGCCCTCTAAATTTATAAGAAATATTTATCATTTGAACACTTAATTTTACAAGTACTGCTATTTTGTGATATTTACTAATAGGCTTTTTATTTGTCTCTGTTGATTTTTCGTAAATGGCTATGTTTTATCGCAATCATGATGAATTTCATTATTTTTAAATAATGAAAAAAAAAACAGATTATTTTTATTGTGATAACAAGCGGTGACCAAGTCTCGAATAAAAACAAACTAATTTTCAACGTTAATTAAACATAACTTTGATTTTGAATGTTTTGTTCATAGAAATATGATTACTACAAAATAGATTTGTCCTTTTTAATACACAACGATAATCATACTCTTACATATCAATGGTACTAACATATGGTACAAACATATATTTAAATATATTATCACAAATATTATTCTTATTATCTACTTTATTTTTCGAAATTGCCATTTTATTTTTGGGTAATTTGTATATTTTGACATTTTTGAGGAGCCTTAAAATTTTGTACATAATAAATAAACTTTCTCTCAATTCACTCAATAAAATAGAAAAATGAAACTACCCAAATACTTTATTTCAATTATACTAAAATATAGAATAATTATTAAAGTATTATATTTAAATAATTTTCTTAGTAAGCAAGAAGTGAGCTAGCACTGGAATAAAACACAATTTTCAAATCGTATGAAGGCCTTACTAAAGAAAAGAAAGTCCCTCAGTGGGTCAGCGGTAAATTTACGGACTTAACAACGCTAAAATCCAGGGTTCGGTTCCCCGTGATAGACATAGAGTATACAGCCTGTTTGGAAGTTTTGCAGTAAAACAAACAAAGAAATGAAACGAAAATGCTCAAAAATATACTTAAATGCATCATTTAGGGTCTAACAATAAGTCTAAGATTATTTCTTAAGTTCGACAGAGTGGTTTGCAAAATAAATGAAAATATCATAAATATTTGGATTTATATTCATTTCCTGTATAGTTCTATAAGAAACTGTGAAATTTCAAAATAATTTTATTTCCTACTTTTATCTAAGAACATAAGACTTTTTTCATATTTATTTTTCAATGCGAATGGTATATAAAACTATTTCACCTTCCACCAAATATTCCTTTCGTTCCCGTTCTTATTAAACGCAACATCACCAATACTCAAGTACTTTGTTTTGTCAAATCCAGTAACAAAAGGACGATAAGTTTTAAGAATCATAAATTAAGGGCAAAAGTAGTATTAAAATCGCAAAGTTGATTTGATGTTTGTTTGAGTTTTTAAGTAACGCCATTTTCGTTTTTAAACCCTGTTAAACAACATTGATAACCGATGGATATGGCGAAATTTACTATGCATGTGAAATTAACAGAAATATATTATTGTATGCATGCAAAGACAATTCCAGTTTCAATATTTTACCTTACCTCCGCAAAAAAGTGTCTTTACTCCCTTACTCAGCGGCTGGGCGATAAATTTGAGAGTTTAAACACTACAACTCGTGGTTCGATACTGCTGTGGGCACAGCGAAGATAGCCTATTGTGTAGCTTTGCTCTTAAAAATACACAAGCTATTTTCTCTAGATGAGAGCACTGCTTGCATAAGATTTGAATTTATTCGATAAATTTAGCTTAAAGCTTCTTCTTAAAGATATTATCACACACTTGCAAAAGAAAATGCGTATCTCCAAAGAAGAAGAGCATATTATATTTGGATGTTCTCTCTATTCTGAATGCAGATAAGATTGACTATGGCACAGAGAAGTGAACACATTTATAAAACTATGTAATAGAAGCCACGTCTCTACTTGTATTCTCTTATTTCAGCTTGTAATTGTTTTTACCATCAATGCAATATATATTCAATTTTTAATAAATTCTAAAACATACAAGTCATTATTAATCTGCAATGTCCAAAAACTTTAACACCCCACAGCGTCTGAGTCATTATTAATCTGCAGTGTCCAAAAACTTTAACACCCCACAGCGTCTGAGTCATTATTAATCTGCAGTGTCCAAAAACTTTAACACCCCACAGCGTCTGAGTCATTATTAATCTGCAGTGTCCAAAGACTTTAACACCCCGCAACGTCTGAAGCAACATCTAACAAAGCGAATTGTAATCAACTTTAACGCTCGGATAAATGTAATAATGAAGAGCCGGATAATATAACAAATTAAACTGGCTCTTGTTTCTACTGTGTTTGTAGAAGAGTTAGCGTTAGTATAAAATAAATATTTTGATAAGATTAGGCAACTACCGACTTCCATCCACCAATATTTATCAACAGTATTTAAATACTATCAAGTGTTTAATAATTTAAACACAATTCTGAAGAAAAAAAAATCTGACAACTTGGGAGATTGCTTGCAATTTCTAACAACACAAATACAAAGGTATGTTGGGAAAATGTTATTCAGTCTTAATCAACTGACTTTCTTTTAGTCAATAGATAAATGTTTTCTGCTCAACTGAACAATACTCTGAATACAATTAATCTGGAAGAGTGATATGTTATAATTCTCTCTGTTGAAATCTATAAAATCATCGATATTTTTAAATAATAAACACAATATTCCAGTACAACGAAATATAGCTTTAAAACACGTTATTTGGTCATGCATAAGAGCTAACAGTTTATCATTCATTAATTGTTATTTATGCACAGTAAATGTATAACGATTAAAATCACTTCTTTCTTCTTTTTTTTATCTACCAACGTAACACATAGAACTTGTACAATCTCAATAACAGTTTATTGTTAATCAAACACTTCCCAGCGAAACGTTATCGTATGACCGAGGTTAGTAGCTTCTGTATTGTTATTCATTCCAGAACCGCTGTAGAGGTCCTCACTAGTGTCACCTTGTGGGAGTTTTAAACATTCATTTGACGAAAGTATTGTTTCTGTTTCACGGACACAACTGCCAGATAAGATTGTTGTCATATTTACTGATTGTGAAGCTTTCTCTATTCGGTAGTCTGGTATCATTATTTCAAAGCTAGACGGAATAGGTAAAGATTCCAGGTTACTGTTTTGGATACCGTACAGGAAGTACATTAGAAGGCCTAGAAACGAAAAAAAAATTACAATGAATATTAAACCAAGAAATTAATAAAGGTATATAATTAGATTCTGACAATATTTTTTTATCTAGAAACACCTGTTTATCTTTTATTTGCCATTAAAAGATAGTCTAGCCTTTGCTAATATAAATAATCTATTTTATTTCATTTCATGATAAAAACATCAAAGAAATAAAAAACCTAAACTGTAAATTTTCTAGTATTTTTTGTTTTCCATTATTAAATAAGTTATTTGCTTTGATTGAAAGAGTTTCAAACTGTGTTCCGAGAGTTGTTGAATTTCTAAGTTTCTAACTCAACAGAAAAATATTCAAACTGAAAAAAAAATTAAAGTACCCCGGTAATCAAGTTTAATCAAAATCAAATAAACTTAAATTTATAAGTTACTAGAACACTAGACGTTTTGCAGCAAATGAAATTAAACAAGACAATAATTTACTGTAAACTACGTGAAATATTCGAACTGAGCATTAACTCTCTTATGATATATAAAGCTAGACGTTTTGAAAAATAAATTATACCGTAACAATAAACAAACGTGAAAGAATTTGTAGGCAAGAAAGACGTCTTTCATCTGCTGTGCATCTATACAAAGAAATCCCGAGCCCAGTGGAGATTCTTCATAGCATTAAACACAAGTCTTATGAAATAATCTTCACGATAGTTAATACTTTTTGAGCAACACTAGAAAATGAAAAGGATCCTACAATTAACACTTAAAACTACACGAGTGACAGACGAGCTTCATTCTTACCTAACATCATCCAGATTACAAATCTGACTAGTGTCAGAATAGACAATTTGAGGATCAGGTAGATGTTGATGATGACTGCGATTGCTGGCACAAAAGGTACACCTGGTGCTTTGAATTGCAAGTCACATCTAAAGAACAAACGTAAACATTTCTCAGTTTATTCGAATTTCGAAACAGACCGACAGCCTTTACAACTAGACACAACAGAACGTGACTCTTAAAAGCACATTGATAAAATCTGAAACCTTGTTGGTTGAATAATATTATTGTTTGACAGACACAGTTCGTTTTAACTGGTAAAAAAAACACCTTGAACCTGACGAAAATTTCTTTAAGATAAACTAAATTAAAAAAACAAAACAATTTTAATGTAAATAACTCGCAAGTTATTTTGCAAAATTTCCCCAGATCAGTATGTATGTTTGTATGTTTGAATTTATGCATAAAGCTACACAATGGACTATCTGTGCTCTGCCCACCACGGGTATCGAAACCCGGTTTCTAGCGTTTTAAGTCCGCAGACATTCCGCTGTGCCACTGGGGAGCCCTCAGATAAGCAAATGTTGATTGTTTCAGGAAGAAGAAAAGTAATCATCTTACTACTGGTTGTTAAGTTTTTGTCAGGGCATACAGAGTCACAGAGTTGGAGTCACAGATATTCAAGTCTATTGACTAATCAATAATAATGTCGTATTAAGTGCATATTTTCTTAACAGTTTATGGTTTTTAATAATCTTATTGTAACAATCATACCCCCCCCCCTTTTTTTAAAATTGCTTGACTACAAATAATTCACGTTACAGATAGGGTAACATTGTACTACCCTAAAAGGATAAATATTTAATGTAACAGTTGCACAATAGCGATGTGGGGAGGGGACAAGACCTTCTATTCAGAGCCCCAATAATTCTTAATACAGCCCTGCACCAGAAAGGAACTGTAATATTCAATGTGGGGAAAAGTTGAATTCTTGATGAAGCGCATTAATTTCAGCTTATTTATCTGTATTGTTTAGCTAAAAGTTGATGTTCCTAAGCAAAACTACATTAGGCTATCTGCTTTGTCCACCCCGGGAAATCGAACCCCGAATTTTAGCATTGTTAATCCGTAGACTTATCGCTATCCCACCGGAGAGCGTTTAGCTAAAAGAAGGATAATATTTGATACTGATAATATTTTCAACTCAGAATTAGCCTCCACACACTTTCTAATGGCTGTTCTTAATTGTAGTAACGATTCGGATCCCCCAGCGATTGCGGGGGCATACTTACGCCACTGCCTATAATGAACAGTATTTTGGTAAACTAGCGACAACTAATATGATATCACGCGTGCACGTGAAAATAAACATTTACATAATTAGATAGGCATAAAGTCATATGCTACTGAAATATCGACATTATAAAAAAGTTATTAATGGACTTCCAGACACGTTTGGAAAAAATCGCCTCTGATGAAGGAAAGTCCACTTTCTGAAAACGCTCTGGTTTTGGGGTTTATTTTCTGACAAAAAGCAATTGATTCATTAATCCTTACACAGACTGTGTAAGTTATCGTCACAGATCCACTATCCCAAGGAGTATGCGCGTCTAAGCAAAATAATAATAATAATTACGTTGATAAGAATAAGGTGTAAGTGGACAACAAAATCTTTTAAAATATTCTCGGGCGACAACAATGACTTAAATATCTGAGGTAAATATAGACACGTAACTGATCCAATTTTTTATATTTTTAATGCGATCATATAAATAATAATATACATTTTCAAACATTCTAATTGTCACACTAACAGAAGAGCTTATGTAACTTATACTAGTGTCAGTGGTGTATTTTTTATATATTAATTGTGATTGTTGTAGAAGATACGAAATACGTACCTATTTTGGGGTTGAAGAGTGATGGTTATTAGACAAATGGCAATTCCTAAAAGGCATGCCACGAAAAAGAAAACTGCAACAGGACTTCCAGATTCTAGAGGTGCCATGGCATAGACTACGATCAGGTCCAAAGTTATAATGAACAGGTACAAAAGCCCAACAATTTTCATTACAAACATCCCTGAATCTGAAGATGCGGGCTTTCGAACGGTCCAGTCATAAGGGAAAAGACGAGTCATAAACTTGTCGTGTTTTTCTGTAATCCATCTTTTCAGCTTTGATTTGAGAGTACACGGCTCGCTTGTCAGGATCTCTGAGCTACCGTAATGTGGAGTAGGGTTAGAACTGGTGTTACCTACAAGATGGTCTCTATCATCTTGTACTCTGTTGTAGAGACTGGAAGAAGTTGGATCGGGAAGGTTGCCCATAGAATCTTCACTGTCCGATGAGTCGACCCGATTGGTTCGTTTGGCATGAACTGTTTTTTGGTATCCATTGAATGGATTAGGAAATTCCCTAGATGGTGTTGGACACGCAGAACGGATGGACTGAGGAAGTAGCTCGACCAAGGTGGTGGATTGTGGTTGATAACGAAGAATGAGAACGCAACTAGACACCAGCGTGTAAGCCATAAGTGTACCTGCAGAAAATATTATTTAGAAAGTCTACCAAATATGTTTGTTTCGTTTGCTTTTAGAAATTCGTGCAGTGCTACGAAAAAGCTATTTGTGTATAGCCATCCGTAATTTGAACTAATAGATTGTTTGTTTGTTTGTTATGAATTTCAC